TGCTGTTGCTGTTTACACTGTTGTTGCTTTTATCTTTTGCTGTTTATGTTGTTATTGCTGCTGCTGTTGCTGCTGTTGCTGCTCCTTCTGCTGCTGCTGTTGCTGTTCCTGTTGCTGCTACTGTTGTTGCTGCTGCGCTTGCTGTTGTTTTTATTGTTGAGCGACTTTGAGTGAGTTCGTGGAATGTTGCCATATGCCGCCATCTGTATGCATGTATGTACATCTGTACATATCAAGCTCTCTGGATTTGTGTGTGTGTGTGTTGTTTGCGTACTACGTTTGGTACAGTCGCTGCCAGCAGCAACATCGACTGCGGCGGCAGCATCAGCAGCAGCATCAGCAGCAGCAGCGACTGTGACTGAGGCAGCAACCTCGACAGCGACGCAAACGGCAGCAATAATGTCCGTCCAATAATGTCCTTCTGTCCAGACGAACAGACTTTTGACTGTGCGGGGTAACCACTTTTTTGTGCTTCACGATGCCGCTGCTGCCCTTGTTTGATTGCTCAAAAACAGGGTGTTATTTTGATTCGTAAATGTTAATACACTTAAACAGGACTTTTATTTACCCTAAACTCGCTATATTTTCTTTGTATTTGTTTTTTTTTAATATTGGAAATGTATTTTTATATGTTTTATAAAAACTAATTTCATGCACAACAAATATGAAAAGAAATAAAAACCAGATACATTTCAAAACTGGGAAACTTTTAGAAGACTATAAATTCAGTTACGAAATATGCTTCCATTAAAATTATACAAGAAAAATCTTTAAAAGTAAAATAAAAACATCATATATCCTTATGAATTATATATTCTTTTTAAATATTTTGCGACCTTTAACCTCCTTAAACCCCTCGAAACCCAGCATCACCCTGTATTTAGCTATATTTAAGTTGGACAAGTGTGTAAGCACATAAACAGAGAAATGGAATTAAGTTTGCATAGCAAAAGAAAATAAACTGCTAAAATTATAATAACAAGGCGACGAGCGGCGGCAAAGGGGTAGGGGAAAAAATTGAAACTAGTGAAAAGCAGCAACAGAAACAGCAACAATAACACACCAAATTACACACACCTCCCACGAACATGAACACACAAACGCACAGATACTCTGAAACACACACACACATACACGGACAGGCGACAAGGCTGAAGGAAGCAAAAAAAAGGATAAAAAAGGGAGAACTTGGTATGTAATTTATAATATCCTTTGTCCTCTGCCGGCTTTTGTGCACTGTGTTTTGTGAAAAGTGAAAAGTGAAAATGTGTCTGTCTATGTAAAGCCATAGTTTCGTTTGTATGTGTATGTGTGCACGAGCTTTGTTTGTATATGTCAAATACTTTCGCACAGACACAGTTGCAGAGATCCTCGAAGAGAATGTCCCTCGCATTACTTTTGGCGTGGCTTTTTCGACGTTTCTCGTTTGTCCTTTGTGCCCGGGCAAATAGTTAAAACTAAAATAAATTTAGTTGTTGTATTCGCGGGCAAAACATACGCACACCCACACACACATATACGCAGTATGCACATGCACACGCTCGCACACTTACAAAGTAGACAGACAAAAGATAGCGCGCGCCGCCATCTTTGCTCTGTTGCTCTGCTGCTGCTCCGCGCTGCCATGGCGCTGATAAGTATGCTACACTTGTTTGGCCGCCACTTTTCTTGGCTCGTGCACTGCAGTGCACTGGACGAAAATTGCTGGGCAGGGAAATGGGTGAATTATAATTTAAAATAAAGCTTTTTTTCTACATATTAGTTGTATTTTAATGCGATTGAAGGATCAGCTTCAAAACAGTGGACAGGAAATGTTCTAAATTTGAATAAATACATATATAAATAAGTTTTAAAACAAAGGAAACTAACTTCGGGAATCCTAAATTTATATGACTTTTTAGCTTGTTTTTATATTATAGAATCAGTTTGGTAATCGATCGTAACTAAAACTAAAATATTCTCATTTTTTAAATTAACATTTTTTGAGATTTAAATATAACAATATTATGACAAATCAATGTTTAAAAAACTCATAACTAAGTGAAAACCCCATTAATTTTAATTCGAAAAGCTTTCCTATGTTAATTTTTGTTATCTTAATAAATCTGCATACTCAACCCATAATTTTAAAAATTTTTTGACAATTTTTAACCATTTTAACGAAATGAAATTTTGAAAAAATTGGTAAATTTTTGTATTTTTTCGGACATGCCTAGATCGATTTGCCTTTTAATTCTGTTCTAGAATATATATGATTTATAGGGTTGGAAATGACTACTTCAACATTTCTTAAGCTTTTGACTTAAATTAGAATACCCTGAAAAACCACTAATGACTAGCTCAAGCTAAACTAGTTTTGAAAATTCATTATTAATGGCCCGGCGGTGAAAACCAGCCAGGCACTTCAAAAAATTGCCTCGGATACTTGAATGTCTTTACTTATGCTCCGTTGTTGATCTTCATATTGGTACAAATTCCATCGCCGAAGCGAAGTTCAAGACACTGAATTAACCCTCTAAACGAGGAACTCTCTATGCAAAGTTTCCGATAACCAGTTGGGAATTATAGTGGAGTCTTAAGACTCAGCAAAAGTTTCTCAAGGATCGCCACATGGCATGGGGGATGTTTTTATGCGTGACTCAATTACGTTGATTTCGCTTTTTGCAACTGAGGGAAGATTATGACTAGATTACCTTGGCTGATCAAGAATTTATATGATTTATAGAGTCGAAAATAAGTCAGCGTTATAAGCTTTTAAATAAAATTGAAATATTCTGCAGAGGTCAAGAAATCTAGGAATCAAACAGAAAAATCTTGTAAGGTACTTCTTTAAAAAATAAAAACAATGTTCAAAGCAATTACTTGTTAAATTCCCGAAACCTTACCATATTTTTAGAGTTAAGCCTCTTAGTTATAAATATTTTAGATTCATTTTGCAGTGTCTTTGCTGCTGCTCTGGTCGTTGCACGAAATCTCATTATATTTGTTTTATTTTATTTGCTGCCACGTCTTCGTCGTTTGCAGCAGATTCCTGCTTCTTGCTACTTGCTACTTGCTACTTGTGTTGCTTCGCCTTGGCTTTTACGTCTATTTCCTATGCTTTTGGCCAAAAGTACGAGTTACAAGTACACGGCCACGTAACTAACTTCTCTGGCCATTCCTCCTCCCCTGATCACCCCAGCAGCCTCCACTCATCCAGGGCCACTCCAAGACCGAAGGCTAAAGGCATTGTCATCCACTTACTTACTACTTAATGCGTGCTTAGTTATTGTTTTAGTGTGGCTTTTTGTCTCAAAATTATTAACAATGGCCGCTGCCGTTGCTGTTTGCCATTGGCCAGTGGCAGGTGGGCGGGAATGGGTTAAGAATGGGCTTAAGGATGGCAGGAGTAGCGGTAATAGCATTTAATGCACCTGCTCACACACACACAAGTACACCTGCAGCGAAATTGCTTTGTTCTCCTCGTCCATTGTCTTTTCACTCACACTCACAAAATACTCCTGCCCAAGGACTCCCCACTCTCCACAAAAGCACAAAGGACAAACACTTCGGAGACACCATCATCATAATTATCATCATCGTCATCGTCATCAGGGGCATGATTACGTTGATTTTAAGCGGCTTTATAAATGCTTCACTCTGCGTGTGTCTCTTCATTATTTATTTGCATTTAGCAGCATTTAATTTTCACCCATCTCTCTTCTCTTCTCCACTTAAATTGCAAAATGCTAAGCTAATGATCTAATTTCATATTTATATGCAACTCATTTCCATTATAATGGTGGCGTCATAAAATGTTGCATTTAACATAAGCACTTTAAATGCTTTATTTCCGTTTTCATCTGTTGAATGGCATATAAACATCATAATGTGTTGAGTTTTATATTATTCTCGAACTGTTAAATATAGTTGTTTATATTTTATTTATTTCAATTGTTTAGGGTATATTTTCATTAACTTATACACTGTTGCTCATTCGGATATATGACTGATAAAAATTTTAAAAAGAATTATCAATATTTACAAATTTACTTAAAAATGGAAAGCAAAAAGTGCAAATACCGAAAATACTTTTTTAATAAAAAATGTTTGCCATTTTAAAAATATCTTTAACTTGTTTAAGTGATGAAATATTTATTTTATAATTTTGACGAAGAGACTTTGATGAATTAATAAGACTCTGGATCATACCAAAATAGGGCATCTTTTATTTTTTAAGATCACACTTTAAAAGGGAAAGTAAGCTCATTAATTAATCATGTTTTCTTTTTTAAATAACACTTGGAACTTATTGAGTTAGAAACAGGTCTATTTAGGCATTAAAGCAGTATATTAAATAAATACTGATATTTGTCAAAATTAGGTATATATGGTTAAAATTAAGCACTCATTAATTTGACTTGACTAGACTTAATGGTGGTACAACAACGACTGAGTTTATTTAGCATAAGACACCCTATTTATACCCAAAGTAAGCTATATATTACAACTATACATTCAAGAATTTCCTAATTAATTTACTCTTAATCCTATCAAGACCCTAGCTATGTCACCAGTTATGCAATATAGGTTTTGCCAGACATTTTAGAAGAGAACTGCAGCTGCAGCTGCAAGATAAGGTGCAATATAAACCCTTGACTAAGCTTAAGCCTTTGTTTTGTTTTGCTAATTAACTTTCGTAGAATTCAATCAATTGTCGAAACCAAATCAAGCCTTAAATTGCTTCCTCACTAATCTGAAAACAAAAGATCTGAAACACTTTCTAGAGAAGATAAATACCATTTATTTATGAAATGAGAACATTCTATTCGAAGTTATGCAATTTCATATATATTTTCTTTAGTTTAGCTTACTCACTTCTGAATCTTATTCCTTTTTTTTTGTAGCAGCATTTACGAATCTTTGATTTTACCACTATTATTTATTTATACCAAATAAATACTTGATTTTTATTTTACAAATATAAAAATACTTTAAACTTGTACATCAAAGTTGGCCTTTATTATAAGGTCAAAATCTGAAGGGGTACGAACGAAGGCAGTCTTAGAACATCGCTTTTCATTAATAACAAAAAAAAAAACGTCCGAGATCCAAAACAAAATGCTTTTAACAGAAAAATAGATTCCAAAAAATAAAGTGACGCACTGCAGAAGCCAAAATAAAACGTACAAAATTTATTTTTATATATTATCCTCTGAGTGAATCGCAAGAAATTCAGAAATGGATCGTGAGAAAGCGAAGAGCACAATTGTGCCTCCAAAGCAATCAGCCAAGGTTCAAATTAGGAACCCGTCGCTGAATCTGGAGAACCAATTGGTTGGCGGCAAGTACCGGGTTATAAAACCCATTGGATCCGGCTCCTTTGGCGACATCTATCTAGGCTTGTCCATCAAAGACGGCGTCGAGGTGGCCATCAAGGTGGAGGCCACCGATGCACAGTATCCGCAGCTGATATACGAGGCCAAGCTGTACAAGCATCTGCGTCAACGTCCGGGATTCCCAAAGCTGCTGCACTTTGGGAGCGAGAAGCGCTACAATGCAATGGTGATGGAGCTCCTGGGGCCATCGCTGGAGGAGCTCTTCAATCTATGCAAACGCCGCTTTTCCATGAAGACCGTGATGATGCTGATCGATCAGCTTCTGGTGCGCCTCGAAGACGTGCACGAGGCTGGGTTCATACACCGAGATGTGAAGCCCGATAACTTCCTCATGGGACTCGGTGAGAACTCCACCCAATTGTATCTGATTGACTTTGGACTGTCCAAGCGATACAAGGACAGTGAGACGCATCTGCATATCCCCTATCGCAAGGATCGCAATCTCACGGGCACCGTGCGTTATGCCTCAATGAATGCCCAGATGGGCGTGGAGCAGTCTCGCCGTGATGACATGGAGTCCTTGGGGTACTGCATTATGTACTTCAATCTGGGAAAATTACCCTGGCAGGGCATAACGGCAGCCAATAAGAAACAGAAATACGAGAAGATATTGGAGAAGAAGCATAGCATCTCGATTGAGACTCTGTGCCGAGGATTACCCACCGAGTTTGCGCTATACATGAAGTATGTTCGTAATCTACGCTTCAAGGAGCCACCGGATCACAAGTATCTCCGTCAGCTATTCCGTGTCCTTTACCGTTCCCTGAACTATCAGTTTGACTTCATATTCGACTGGACGCTCCTGCAGGAGCAGCAAAAGGATCGACTGCGTCGTGAGCGCGAGCGGGAAGCAGAGAAGAATCGTGGACGCGCTCGTGTCCATGTGCGTGAAAGTCAGACTGACCGTCAGACGGAAGCGGAACGAGCTCGCAGGACCTCCACACAGCAGGCGCAGGAGCATACATATCGCAACCAGTCCGCCAGATATGAGCACGATCGGATGATCGGCGATGGATCCCTTACCCGGCGATACATGTAGTGTGGAACAGTATCAAAATTAATTCCAATTTAAAGTTCAGTGGTTCCACGTTGGAACCACACTTTAGTGTTAACCAAATTGGTTAATCCTGTCTTTTGGATTCCAACTGGTGATGGAGTATTTCAAGTCTACACCGGCCGTTCCGATATTTTATGGATAAATACAATTATTTAGATACTGCATTAAAGTTTATTTTATAATGTTGAGAAATACTTTACTATTGTTTGCATTGCAATTATAATGTAAAATACTTAAATTTAATGGATCCTTAAGACTAGTTTTATAAATTTCAATGTAAGGCTACATCTTCCTATCCCTTCATTAATTGATTTATCAGTAGTGCCCCTTCAAATATCCTCTAGACACTTGAGAATCCATTCAATAAAGTCCTGTGGGAAAATGCCACTCTTAAGTTTTCCATTAAGTTTGAGCTCCCTTTATGCGTGGGCTTGGGGGGAAAAGGCAACTTAATAAACTGTCAAATTGTCATGTAAACGGGACAAAGCTGCCAACTGAAAGTTTTTACCTTGGCGAGAAGTTGGCTAAAAAGGAGGCGGGTTTATTTACGCTACTTATTTATTGAGTGGCGGACAGAGAAAAAGTGGACACAAAAATAAAAAAATACCAAAAACACTTGCGAGTTATGCGAAAACAAAATAAATTTTAGAGTAGAAGCGGACTTCAATAATATGTATGTATTTGTGTAGTTGTGTCAACATTTTATTAGTTTTCCTTTATTTTTTCTTGTCCCCCCTTTTGTGGCAGCAAAAATAAGTGGAAAAGTTTCATTTTATTTTTGCAGAATCTCTCTTTGCTTAAAGACGGGGTCGCGACTTGGCACCTGCTGCCAAATTAAATTCCCAGTTGCACAACTGAAACAGAGAACGAAATAAATAGAGGAAGATATAGAGAAAGAGAGAGAGAGCAAATCTAGAGAGAAAGAGACGGATAAGGCAAACAGTGAAAGAGACGGAAATAAAACTACAGGACTATGACAGACTGGCAACTTCAATAATTTATGATGCAGCAGCCAAAGGAGAAAGCAGCGCCGGAATCATTTTGCCATTTGGAGTAATTTTTCTTTTAGTTTTCCCCCACTCTCTTTTCCCCGCCTGGTTGGTGAAACTTTGCCGAGAAACAGAAAACATAATTAAGTGTTGTCTTGAGTTGGGTGCATAGTTGACATGACAAACAGTTGATGAACAAAAAAAGGAAAAATAAAGGCTGGGGAGTAAATAGAGCTGCGGAAAATACGGAAAATTGCAAATTCCATTGGGGATGAATAGTGGCAGATCCCCGTGAGCCGTGGAACTGGTCGAAAGTGGCTAATAAAGCGGCCTGACAAGTGGCAAGTGAAAATGCCAGACAATGTGGCTTCAGCTCCTCCTCCTGGTCTTGGTCCTGGTCCTGCTCCTTGATTCCTTTTCCTACCCTTGGATACCTCTCGCGTATTCCGTTTCCTGACAACGACAGTTGGCATGTCAGCATATGACAAATCGTTCGGCTGACAGGTGACTTGAATGTTATGGAAATTTCCTAGAGAGGATCCTCTGGACCAGGGCAGACGACGAATACAAATACTAGTCCACAGCACAGGTAATGTAATTGCACATTTCGTTGTGTGAATGCCAAAAGAGGTGTTTATTTAATTTGCCAAGTGAATGTGGCTACGTGTATGCCATTCGCCCGCTCAAAGTTTGTCCAATTTGATGTGACAATTTCCAGCATTTTGCACTCAAAGGAAAATTGTTAGAGCAATGCTATGCCATCCATAGAATATAAATGCGATGGTCTAGAGTGTAAGCTGTCGGTTCTATTCAAAAGGTGACCTGAAAGGCACTGGTTCTGAAGCTAAATGTAGACTTTAGTCGAAGGGTAGACAAAGAATAATTGTGAAAAAAGCAATATTATTTTTAATATAAACAATATATATAATATATCTTATTGCTTAATAAAAGCCATGACTGGTAGTCATTATCAATCAACAATTATATAAAATATATATATCAATTTCATGCACAATGTAAAATTGAATTCCAAGACTTAATTTATTTAAAGTTGAAGTCCTTTGGCATCGAAACTTAATTGAAATATGAAAAATTCCACTTAAATGCATTATAGGGCTTAGCCAATTTCCATTTGGGCCTTATTGTTGTGCCGTTCAACCCACTTAATTCCCCGAAAAGTGTTGAGCTGAAAAATTGCAAAACTAATCTATTCGACAGCAAAGTCCCTTCGCCAGCCGCATCCGCACAGGTAAACCATTAACAGCAACAGTGAACTGGTAAACACACAATGCCAAAGTGGAGGTGGAAAAAGTTGTTATTTTGCCAGAGAAAAAGATAATGCCAAACCACAGCAGCAGGAGCTGGAGCAGGAGCAGCAGAAACAGGAAGAAAAGCAGCTCTTAACTTTCAACAACGGTAGCCCTGAAGTTTCCACTCAAATAATTGCTTTTACCGGCGCTAATAGATGGGGATTTCAGTAGTATTTCCCCCATTTCTGATCCGCCTCCAGGGAAAGCTGCAGCATAATCCATTTGCCACGATAAGTCGAAAAACACGAACCAAAATGGTTTTTTGTTGCTGTCCCCTCAACCCGCACAACTTAAAGATCTTAAGTTTTACTCTTTGTTTTTAGTTTCGCATGCGCTCTGAATTATTTATTGCAAAATTTACCGAGTAAAAGGAAAGTAATTATGTGCAACGCGGCGTATGCGCAATGTTAAGACACGGCAAAGACAAGAAAATTAATTAGTTTACCAAACAAACAGTCCCCGCTGTTCTCAGGTGCTACAATCGATTTTGTGGCTTAACTATGCATACACTTTCCAAATAATATTATAATATATTAATTAATATTAAGTATTTATTTAATTGCAAGAAAATATAAATGTTGCCTGATTATAAAACTTCTTTAAAGGCAAATCAATCATTTATATTTTTATGAAACATATACTGCTTTAATATATATGGTACAAGTATTTTATTTAAATAGTTTTCCCCTATTGCTAATTAAAAATAATGTATAAAATAAAATTGGCCTTGAAAAATTAGATATACTATACTTTTTTCAAAAGAACTCGCCTTTATTGGTTTCCTTAAGCTTAGGACTCTTAATCTTATAGTATAAATAAAATTCTTCATCTAAAACAATTGTATGAAATTAAGATCAACATAATTTTATTAATTTACAGACTCCCTAAAGAACAGTTTAGTTTCTATCTCAAATTCATATTATTTTCGTGCTGTGCACTCGCCTAAAAGGACCAAGGACTGGCCAGACGTGCACCTTGAGCAGATTTCAATGTTGACTGGTCGAGAATTGAACGAAATAAAATGAAAGGCCCATCAAAGTGGTCGTATAGCAAAGGGATGCTGCCGTTGCCATTGCCAAAACAGAGCCTCCTGCTGTCTAAACAAAGGCGGACACAGCATGGGATATAGACACACGAATCGAATGTCATTAAAACGATGGCCTACGGAGACGGACACGGAGATCGAGATGACTGACTGACTGTCTGTCGGAAAAGGGAGGGGATTCTCTGGGTTGGCGGGGGAGCATCATGTTGAGAGCTCATTAAAACGAATACGAATTTAATGGTACTTAAAGCGGAAATTGCCTGGCAAGTTTCCGCTATGGTGAGCACACAAGCAGCCGCAGCCATAGTCGCACACAGATGCAGCTATCGCTACAGGACTCTCAGATACACAGATACACATCTGGAGGATGCGAAGGAGTCAGCAGAAGCAGAAGCAGAAGCAACTAACGGGGGAAAATCCAAAGCCAAGCGGATTCAAGTCCCTGGCCCAACTTAGATCGAAGTGCCAGGCCAAGTCGCAGCGGCAACAAAGCTTTTACGAGCTGCAAAAACTATTAGTGGCAAACAGGAGCAACAAACAGAAAGCAAAGCAGTCACACAGGAAAAAAGTATATATCCTTTCTAGGACATGTCACAACCAAAAGAAATCTTTAGCTTATAGAAAGGGGTTTTACAGGGAAAGAAGTCCTTTTCTTGGGATTCCTGGAAATCACTTTCGCTAAAGAAATATAACGATGTTGAAGTATTTTATGCTTAAGTAATTTAAGTTATTAATGTTTGTTGAGTTAACTTGGCTTTTTCCTAAATATTTGTAATTTCTAATTATAGAATAGTGAATTAACTGATATTTAGTTTTTAGTATTTCAACATTCTTTTGTGCATTTAATAACGAGCTCTTCTCTAGAAGAACTTGAACAGGTGCTCTCATATGAGTGGGCTCCCTGACCCCCAACTAGACCAGCTTTACAGTTTTTACGTGTGCTAAATGAAGCCATTACACACTGCACTGAACTACAGGTAAACAAAAATAACAAATGGAAAAATAAAAACATAGCAAAATGATAACGGAAACGGAAACCTTTGAAAACAAAAATATCGACTCATTTCCGCAAGAGTATTAGACGTTATGTGAGCAGGTTTATTACAAAAAACTAAATTGATTTTAAAACTTTATAAAAATAGTTCAGCACTTGTTTAGTAAATATTGTTAATTAAGAATATTGATAGAAGGCTTATATGTTAAAAACTGGGAGAGAAAAGAGATGAACAATTTTATTTAAAACTTTATACCAAATAAAAAAATAAATGTATAAGCAGATTTGAGTGAGTGTTTTATGACCGCTCTCAGTTTTCTTTTTTAAACTGTTTTATATAATTTTCTTTAATATTAAAACTTTCATTATTCCCACCGTTTTTGTTGTTTAATAAAAAACGTATGAAGTACTTAAAAAGGAACCTTTTTCAGAGAGAGAGAGAATAAGTGCTGACCATGCAAAAGCGGCAACGGTGTGAAAAACGGCCATGCGATACACAAAAGTATGCTTTAATTGAATGTTTGTTAGCCTTTCCGTATACACAGAATCCCTCTCTTTTTCTGCAAATACAAGAAGAGGGGGAAAAAGTCGAAACATTTTCCACACATATGCCTGTCAGTGACGCCCATAATGGCAATACCATTCCATGTACTTTGAGTTTTCAATTTCAGCTTTTTGCCGCTCGTCGAATCGCCGAGTGGGCGATGGAAAACACACACAAATGGGAGTAGGAGCAGGCGAATGGAGACCATGTCCTTTGAGCTTGTCCTTTTGCTTTTATCTGTTTGTAGTTCTCCTGCGAGCTCCTGCGAATGCTTATGGTACTTTTAATATCCTGTATACTTCTT